CAAAACTTGGACGGCTGATTTCACTCAGTAACTCCAACAAAATGTTTCCTCCTTTCATCCCCCCCCCCAAAAAAACAACGGAGAAAGTATTATGTCATCTTAAACAAGAGGGAATCCTTAATAGCCGCGGCACTTAAAATTCTTTTAGACAGGGTTAGAGTAAATTAATCAATAAGACCTTTTTTACCAGCTATATTTTTTTGCGCCAGCAATGTCAAGCGTGGGGCGCGCGCACACACCTGATTTAATATTATTACTCATCAGAATCTCTACCAGCCCACCCTCAAATTGAAATTATTTTAGGCAGGATTAGAATATATTAATCTACGAGACCTTGGGCGTGGCTAGATATATCAATCGAAAGGGTTTGACTTTCTGAGTCCAAAACTATAATTATATCGGTCAAGAGATGACCGATATGAGCTAAAATGTTGTACTTATAAAAAAAAACAAAAAAAACTCAAGAGTCATACTATGAGCCGTTATGCCGCGAATAAACATTGTTACCACTACTAAAGAACGTTAACTGATGAATTACGTGATTCATTCTGAACCTCACTGTTTAACTAACTTAACCTCACAAGACTAAACATTCTCCTTGTCCCAAACCGGCTAATCCAGATTACAATCAGAGAGAAACACACGACAAAATCCAGACTCTTAAAATAAATACTCACTTTTGATCTACAGACTCACGATGTTAAGTTTTATAACAGGAAACTCTATTCGCACGCCTAAGTCTAGTTCGCTTGTAATTTAATATCTAAAAGGAGAACGTTTTAACAGCAAAAGTTATCTGATGTAATTTTAACAATAGGTAAAACATTAACAGCCAAAGTTAGTCAAGTGTAACTGTTATTATCCCATTCCGTTTCACATCCCCCCCTCCGCCTCTCTTTACAATCAGTTCCCCTTGTGTGACTCTAGTGCCTAACAATTGTCCAGTTGACAAAAAACAACGTTATAAAGAAAAGTGACTCTCTGACAGATGAGGATTTATAAAGTGGAATTATGGGAACATTTCTTTCTCAACTTGCAGATCTTCCCTCGTCCCATGGGACTCGCGAGAAACCGGTTACTGTAAAAAAGTAGATCAATCCTGGATGGAAAAAATTAAATACGTGCGCGTGAAAAACTATATTATGTAGCATAAATCAAAAACAGCCGTCAATATGTCACAAATTCCCCCTCTCCTTCCCTTTTAAAACATTTTGGGAAATTTCCAGCTCCCCACACGTACAGCATTCCAGCTAAGTCGGGCAATTGTTTTCGCCCCAATAAAGCTATTAAAGTTCCTGTTCGTATCTCGTATAACAATGATATATTCTTGTACTCACATGTCTCCTATAGCTTTGCAGCACGTGTTTACCAAAATCGCCATGTGATGAACGGCGAAGTGAGAGAGGAGAGACATAAATTGAAATGATACAGTAATTGATATTCAGAGCATGGGGAGGATTGAAGAAGATGGCCCAAAGCTCCTTTTTTACGTCTTTTAAGTACAGAATGTTCAGCAGTTGGGTAACAAACTCCCGTAATAAATATCTCATGAAACAACTAAAAATGAAACCAGACCACAATTGCATCAAGATTAGCCTTCAGTGTGGTTTGTACTCTTTTCTGTAGAGTTAGTTTAATCAATATTATTGGTTATAACGTGTATAATATTATTATTAATTTATACATTAAGACATACCTAAATATCTTAAATTGGACAAAACTCAAGAGATATTATTGGGATTACGACCGAAAATGTTGCGAATAGCGAATTCTAATAACTGTAGATTTATCACAAATCGTACCTATTGTCAGTTTGTTTTACAGCATTGACTTCTTTAATTTATAGGTTACGTTTGCTCTGAAGTTATAAATAACAATAAATTATTACATACAAATATTTTATTTATTTATAAGTTTACAGAAGGTAGAATACTTTATATTAAAAAAAATTGAAAATGCAAATCAGCAAGTCACGTGAAAACCACAATTTAAAATCGCAGTGGATGGCATGTATCAGAACTACATTTTTACCGTTTTAGTAATGTGGTGGCACCACAAATTGATCGCTTTTGTGAGGGGTATGTAACAGATCGTTTTTAAACAAAATATTTATATATTAAGATCATTATAATGTGTTTAGATCGAAGATTTAGAATTCTAAGACAAGGATATCTCTTGAACTTAATAGCACTGAAAAATATATATATAAAATAACTTGGGGCACCAGGACCATCCAGAAAGAGACCTACAACAAGTCGTACCATAGCCATAGTAAGCAAATCCATGAAACAGATGAAATTCCACGAACACAAAGATCAGTAGCAAAAACTGTCCACCTACCCCAGGCAACAGTACACAACATAGTCTTCTGGAAAATGTGACACAAGAAACGTGTACATAACATAATCTTCTGGAAAAAGGGCACAAGTAACGTGTACACAAGTTGCTTTCACAACGTTCAACCGTCGCATACCTCAAGCAGATGAAGAATGGATTTATACTATACTATTCCATACAAAAACATACAGGTCAAGTCGCCTATGCAGTGTAGTGCATATGGATTTCTGTCCAATCAGACTGTTGAAAATTACGCTGGGAAACCGTCGCCCTCATAACTAGATGGATTATTCAAGTCACCAGGGAGGAGAGATATGTTTTGGACATATACACACTGCCTACAGTCTTGAAAAACGACATATTACACACTGTCTACAGTCTTGAAAAACGACGTATACACACTGTCTACAGTCTTGAAAAACGACATATTACACACCGTCTACAGTCTTGAAAAACGACATATTACACACCGTCTACTGTCTTGAAAAACGACATATACACACTGTCTACAGTTTTGAAAAACGACATATACACACTGTCTACAGTCTTGAAAACAACATATACACACTGCCTACAGTCTTGAAAACAACATAAGCACATCGTCTACAGTCTTGAAAAACGACATATTACGCACTGTCTACAGTTTTGAAAAACGACATATTACGCACTGTCTACAGTTTTGAAAATCGACATATTACGCACTGTCTACAGTCTTGAAAAACGACATATTATATTTCCGCTGGTGTTGAAAGTTGTAATTATTACCGCTGTTTTTGAAAGCAAGGTATGACGTATGTCGAGAGATGATGCGGAACATAATAATAGTGAGCGTTTGGGAACGAGATTTAAAAGTGTTGTACGGGAGAAAAACAAACGAACGAACTTTAATATAAAACACACGACGCTCCTTATCCCTTTTCAAGACTGTAGACAGTGTGTAATATGTCGTTTTTCAAGACTGTAGACAGTGTGGCCGAGACTTGAAAAAAAACAAAAACTTTACACTTCTTCGAGACGAAAACTTGGTTATTGACACAAGTAACATCTAGTTAAATGTCAGAGTAACTTCTTATAATGACATACAACATGCCGAAGAATTGACATAAAAAAGTCCCCACGTGACATTTGATCCCTTTATTCCAGGATCCTCTTACAAGCAAGAACGTAAAGTGACAGAAACCCAAATCTACTGACGGTTTAAACAAATAGTTTCCAATATACAGGTAGATATAACACACACATATATAATTTTTGTTCGTATAAAAGTAAGATTATTTTTTAGCCTGGATTAAGGCATACCACACAATATATCGCAAAGTGTCACTAATAAAGGTCTATAAGTTACAGCTACGATAACAAAGCTATACAACAATTATATCACTAAAAACTTCTAACATGTAACAATAAAAATAACTTCCAATAAATGAAGATGATAATTTCTAAGATATAACAAGGATAGCTTAAAATATAACAATTACAATGTCCAAGATATAACACTGAAAGCAAATTTAACATATGGCACTGATAATTTCTAAGATATAACAAGGATAGCTTAAAATATAACAATTACAATGTCCGAGATATAACACTGAAAGCAAATTTAACATATGGCACTGATAATTTCTAAGATATAACAAGGATAGCTTAAAATATAACAATTACAATGTCCGAGATACAACACTGAAAGCAAATTTAACATATGGCACTGATAATTTCTAAATTATAACAATAACAACTTCTAAAGTATAACATAGATAATAACTTTATGATATAACGATGGTAACTTCTAAAATATAACAATAACAGCTTCTGAGATGTAACAATGATAACCACTTCCACCCCCTGAATAATATTTATAATCAAACGTTCCTTCGTCATACCAAAGTGTTGCAAGAAAGCGTCACTAAACTTACTAGACCGTTTAATCCCAGTTGACAAGATGTAGAAACAAAACTGTGTACTCAAACTATTCTGAACAGCATATTTCTGGCGGAATAAACAAATAAACATATATTCGTAAAGATTCATTTCTTTTTGACGTTACGAATGAAAATATTTAATAAGTTTGATTA